TGAGAGTCCCCTTCGGCTGGTCTCTTTGCAGTTGTAAGTTCGCCTTCGACCGGCGTTCTTTTATTAGGAATCTACCTTCGACATAGTATTCCTGGATGAAGATTCCCCTTCGGCTGGTTTCTTTATCCTAAAGTCCACCTTCGGCTGGCATCCTTTAAAACCCAACCTCGGCTGGTACCATTTGTTGAGAGTCCCCTTCGGCTGGTCTCTTTGCAGTTGTAAGTTCGCCTTCGACCGGCATTCTTTCATTAGGAATCTACCTTCGGCATAGTATTCCTGGATGAAGATTCCCCTTCGGCTGGTTTCTTTATCCTAAAGTCCACCTTCGGCTGGCATCCTTTAAAATCCACCTTCGGCTGGTATCATTTGTTGAGAGTCCCCTTCGGCTGGTCTCTTTGCAGTTGTAAGTCCGCCTTCGACCAACGTTCTTTTCTTAGGAATCTACCTTCGGCATAGTATTCTTGGATGAAGATTCCCCTTCGGTTGGTTTATTTATCCTAAAGTCCACCTTCGGCTGGCATCCTTTAAAGCCCACCTTCGGCTGGAATCCTTTAAAGTCCACCTTCGGCTGGCATCCTTTAAAGCCCACCTTCGGCTGGCATCCTCTAAAATCCCGCTTTGGCTGGTACCTTTTGTTAAAATCCTGCTTCGGCTGGTATCTTTCAAAATCCCGCTTCGGCTGGTATCGTTTGTTAAAATCCCGCTTCGGCTGGTATCTTTCAAAATCCTGCTTCGGCTGGTACCGTTTGTTAAAATCCTGCTTCGGCTGGTATCTTTCAAAACCCCGCTTCGACTGGTATCATTTGTCGAAATCCATCGTCGACTGGTATCATTTGTCAGGAGTCCCATTTGTTTGGTCTCTTCCCTCAGTAAGTTCACCTTCGATTGGTGTTTTCTTTGTAAGAGCTTTCTTCGGTCTGTCTCTGTCATACGTATCTGATACCGACCACGGATATGTATCTATCTCTTTCTTACGTATCCGATACCAACCATGGATATGTATTATTGATACCTATTTTATATGTCTGCTACCAACCCCAGACATATGTTCTTGTATCTTTGATGTCTTCTGTGTGTATCCGATACCAACCACAGATATGTATCTTTGATATCTCTTCCTTATGTATCCGATACCGACCACGGATATGTATTTTTGATACCTGTTTCATATGTCTGCTACCAATCCCAGACATGTGTTCTTGATATCTTTGTAAGGGCTTTCTTCGGTCTGTCTCTTTCATACGTATCCGATACCGACCACGGATATGTATTTTTGATACCTCTTTCGTGCGTATCCGATACCGACCACGGATATGTATCCGTCTCTTTCTTACATATCTGATACCGACCACGGATATGTATTTTTTATACCTGTTTCATATGTCTGCTACCAATCCCAGACATGTGTTCTTGATATCTTTGTAAGGGCTTTCTTCGGTCTGTCTCTTTCATACATATCAGATATCGACCACGGATATGTATTTTTGATACCTCTTTCGTACGTATCCGATACCGACCACGGATATGTATCTGTCTCTTTCTTACATATCCGATACCGACCACGGATATGTATTTTTGATACCTGTTTCATATGTCTGCTACCAATCCCATACATGTGTTCTTGATATCTTTGTAAGGGCTTTCTTTGGTCTGTCTCTTTCGTACGTATCCGATACCGACCACGGATAAGTATCTTTGATGTCTCTTTTGTGCGTATCCGATACCGACCACGGATATGTATCTTTGATGGCTCTTTCTTATGTATCTGATACCGACCACGGATATGTATCTTTTCTATCTCTTTCGTATGTATCCGATACCGACCACGGATATGTACCTTGGACGTCTCTTTCATGCGTATCCGATACCGACCACAGATATGTACCTTTGACGTCTTTTTCATCCGTATCCGATACCGACCACGTATATGTATCTTTTTTATCTCTTTCTTACGTATCCGGTACCGACCACAGATATGTATCTTTTCTATCTCTTTCGTGCGTATCCGATATCGACCACGGATATGTACCTTTGACGTCTTTTTCGTATGTATCCGATACCGACCACAGATATGTATTTTTGATGTCTCTTTCTTGTACATCCGCTATCGACCCCGGATATGTATCTCTGATACTTCTTTTCCGTATGTCTGCTATAGACTTCAGGCATATATCTTTTGATATCTTTCTTACAGGTGTTTGTTACTGAATCCCAACAGACGTTCCTTGATAACCAAGTTATTCTGTTGTGTGTCAAACCCTGGTTAAACATACATCTAACCCTGATAACCCCTTTAACCTAGAAACCAAAAAAAAAATATAAAATACAGAAAGACCAAAAATATTAATAATTGACTGACTCCGGAGCGCAAATTTTCGGGTTCTTTTAAGTATTTAATTTTCTTCCACCTTGAAAGTTTGAAAGGCCGACGCCAATCTCACCTTCAGGTTGAAGGCAATTAAATAGGGGCAACTGTTGCACCCCAAAATTTGCCCTCCTAATCTCTTTTATTTGGCTTAGAGTTTTTGCATTCATCTGCATCATTCCAATGGGTCATTTGCATAGCACGCATTTTTCATAAAAATAGATCGCCTGAGGTTCAAAAGACCAGCAGTTAGGGAGCTAAAGTTTACAACTGATTTAAGGTGTATGTATGAAATGAGCCTGATTATTCAGGATCTCCCTGGTGTCAGCAAGTTGGGGAATTAGGGTTTTGGTTCATTCTCATTTTTTTGGACTTCCTTTCCCTCAAGCAGCGAGGCTATTATTTTCTGATAAAACCACATGCTTAATGACTTTGACATGGCATTCATCCACTCTTCAATTAACCAATTCAGGATTTGTTGAATCATGATTCAAGAATCATTGATTGTGAAGCTCGAGTTTTCTTTTGGTTCGAGGTTTTTATCAAACAAGACTGATTCTTCTGGAACATTGAACTGTGAGTTTATGGTTGTGATTAATGGTTGTTGTGGATTTCTTCTTTATCAAGCTACGAGGTTATTCTCTTCATCTCGAAATCAAGTTGCAAGGTTTTATTTGTTAAAGTCTGAAGATTTGAGTTTATTTCTTTATGTCTATTGGAAGATCATGCTTTGTTTCATTTCGAAGACATTTTGAACATTATTCTATCCATGTCTCAAGTCGTCACTGTGCACCTAATACAAGCGGGTTAAGGTTTCACATTTTGTGTGTGAGTTTGTTGATGTTCATTAATGAGGAATGATTAGAGGATATCCTTCTAAGCTTCAAATTTTATCTTCTTTAAGGATCCCACAAAGGTATTTTTTGGCAAAACAAAGGACTTGTGGGGTTGAATTGAAAAGTATGAGGTCATGGCATAAGGAATGGTACCATAGATTCATGTTAATCAAGGCCATTTTTGTTCTCATCATCGTTAGTTTTTGCTCACAATACAATGTACCACTGGGTGGTAAATCAGCAAACTCCAATCACCATGGTTATTATGGAAATCCAGTATATGGGGTTGGATTGTCTTATCCATGAAATCCGATGACAAACTCTGCTTCTCCAGTTGCGTCTGGAAGTCCCATCAGACAATGATCTAAACATGCGTTTTGCTTCTGGAATGAGGAACTTAGCTGGGGTCTGGAATGGGAACTTAGCTGGGAACATGGATGAAAACTTTGCTTCTTCTCTGTTGGAAGAGTTCAAGAGCAATAAAGCCAAGTGTTTTGAGCTCTCTAAAATTGCTGGACATGTTGTTGAATTCAGCACGGATCAATGTGGGAGCCGATTTATTCAACAGAAGCTTGAAACAACAACTACGGAAGAAAAAAACATGGTTTATCAGGAAATCATGCCACATGCTCTTGTTTTGATGACTGATGTCTTTGGTAATTATGTGGTTCAAAAGTTTTTTGAGCATGGACTTGCACCCCAGAGAAGAGAATTAGCCAACAAGCTTCTTGGCCATGTCCTGACACTTAGTCTTCAAATGTATGGTTGTCGGGTCATCCAGAAGGCCATTGAAGTTGTTGATCTGGATCAGAAAATAGAGATGGTTCAAGAGCTCGATGGTAATATCATGCGCTGTGTACGTGATCAGAATGGTAATCATGTCATTCAGAAGTGCATTGAATGTGTCCCAGAAGATGCAATTGACTTTATTGTTTCAACATTTTTTGATCAAGTTGTGACACTCTCTACCCATCCATATGGTTGTCGTGCGATACAAAGAGTACTGGAGCACTGTGAAAATCCGGCAACACAGCAGAAAGTTATGGACGAGATTTTAAGTTATGTTAGTATGTTAGCTCAGGATCAGTATGGCAACTACGTTGTTCAGCAAGTATTGGAACATGAGAAGCCTCACGAGCGTTCTACTATAATAAAGGAATTAGCAGGGAGGATAGTTCAAATGAGTCAACAAAAGTTTTCCTCCAATGTTGTGGAGAAATGCTTGACCTTCAGTGGTCCTTCAGAACGCCAAATACTAGTCAGTGAGATGCTTGGAACCACAGATGAAAATGAGCCTCTTCAGGCAATGATGAAAGATCAGTTTGCAAATTATGTCGTCCAAAAGGTGCTGGAAACAGGTGACGACCATCAACGTGAGCTGATTCTTTCGCGAATCAAAGTTCATTTGAATGCATTGAAAAAATACACTTATGGAAAGCATATTGTTGCACGTGTAGAGAAACTCGTTGCTGCTGGAGAAAGAAGAATTGCTGCTCAGACTCCACAACCTTCTTAGGCGTGACATAGAAAAATAATGCTGCAACTTTCTCGCCGACGTGATGATATTATGAAAGTAAGTCCTGCCTCAAAATCAGTGGCTTCTACTTTGGCATCAATTGCTTTAGATCACATGAATTTTGGTGGCCATGTAACTGAAGCTTCAATATCAACAAAATGCCGTTATTTTGGAAAAGTCATGGATTTTTTATAGAGATGACATATTTACTACTCGCTCTAGTAGGAGGGTGTCCCTTAGAATCTGGACGCCTGCAGATGATGTGCCTAAGACGGCTCATGCTATGTATTCTCTGAAAGCAGCTATGGAGTGGGGCGAAGATGTTTTTGGACTTGAATATGACCTGGACCTCTTCAATATTGTTGTTGTGCCAGATTTTAATATGGGGGCCATGGAAAACAAAAGCTTGAATATTTTCAATTCCAAGCTTGTACTGGCTTCTCCAGAGACTGCTTCAGATGCAGATTATGCTGCAATATTAGGAGTTATTGGCCATGATTATTTCCATAATTGGACTGGCAACAAAGTGACATGTCGCGACTGGTTCCAGCTAAGTCTGAAGGAAGGTCTCACTGTTTTTCGTGATCAGGAATTCTCATCTAACATGGGAAGTCGTACTGTAAAGCGGATTGGTGATGTTTCAAAACTTCGTAATTACCAGTTTCCACAGGACGCAGGTCCCATGGCCCATCCAGTGCGACCACACTCTTACATCAAGATGGACAATTTCTACACAGTCACGATCTATGAAAAGGGGGCTGAAGTTATTCGAATGTACAAAACCTTATTGGGAAATCAAGGGTTTCGAAAGGGCATGGATCTATATTTTAAGAGACATGATGGGCAAGCTGTAACATGTGAAGATTTTTATGCTGCCATGCGGGATACAAATGATGCAGATTTTGCAAATTTCTTATCATGATACTCTCAGGCTGGGACTCCAGTTGTTAAAGTAAATACTTCTTATAATGCAGAAGGACATACATTTTCCTTGAAGATTAGTCAAGAGATACCACCAACTCCAGGGCAGTCAGTTAAGGAACCCACGTTAATTCCTATTGCAGTAGGTTTGCTTGATTAAAATGGCAAGGACATTCCTCTTTCCTCTATTTATCATAACGGAGCTTTGCAACCCGTTTCAAGCAGTGGCCAATCAGTATCCACTACAATCCTTAGAGTCACTAAGAAAGAAGAAGAGTGTGTATTCACTGATATATTTGAGAAGCATGTTCCATCTTTGTTAAGGGGATACAGTGCTCCTATTCGTCTTCAATCTGATCTTACTGAGGACGACTTGTTTTTCCTATTAGCCAATGATTATGATGAATTCAACCGATGGGAGGCTGGACAAATTTTGGCACGAAAGTTGATGCTCAACTTGGTGGATGATTTCCAAAATAATAAGCCATTGGTTTTAAATTCCAATTTTGTTGGTGGGTTCAAGCGTATACTAACTGACTCAAGTCTGGACAAAGAATTTGTGGCCAAGGCAATAAATCTGCCTGGCGAGGGAGAAATGATGAACTTGATGGAAGTTGCAGACCCTGATGCTGTTCATATTGTTCGGTCTTTCATCAGAAAGCAGCTTGCTAGTGAACTAAAATCAGAGTTCCTTAGCACTGTAGAAAATAATAAGAGCTCGGGAGAGTATGTGTATGATCATTCAAACATGTCTAGACGAGCTTTGAAGAATGTTTCTCTTACTTATCTTGCTTCCCTTGAGGATCAAGAATTCACCGACCTTGCACTTCAAGAATACAATACTGCTACAAATATGACTAAACAGTTTGCAGCATTGGCATCCATAGCCCAGAACCCTGTTAAAATTCGTGATGATGTTCTTGCTGACTTTTATGAGAAGTGGCAGAATGATTACTTGGTTGTGAACAAATGGTTTGCTCTTTAAGCTGTGTCTGACATTCCTGGTAATGTTGAGAATGTGCAGAAACTGTTAAGCCACCCAACATTTGACTTGCACAATCCCAATAAAGTGTACTCTCTCATTGGAGGTTTTTGCAGGCTCCTTGTGAATTTCCATGCAAAGGATGGATCTGGCTATGAGTTTATGGGAGATATTGTGCTGCAACTTGACAAAATAAATCCTCAGGTTGCATCAAGAATGGTGTCAGCCTTCTCAAGATGGAAACGTTATGACGAGACTAGACAAAAACTTGCAAAGGCCCAGTTGGAGAAGATCTTGTCTTCTAATGGCCTATCAAAGAATGTGGTATAGTTTCTAGCGTTAAAAATTACATCATGCTGGCTACTCTTTTTCATACTCTTGCTTTAATTCTTAATTAAGATCCCGTGGCACGAGAAGCCGCTTCAAAAAGTGGATTGACCAGAATTGCCTCCGATCTACTCAACCAGTGGGATTCTAGTCTCGATAGCAAGGAGAAACAGCAGGTGCCAAAAATGGGCCACAACTGCTTTTCTCGCCTTAGACAGGTTGTTGCAGGAAACACTCAGGAGGAATTTCAAAAATATTTTGAAGCTCTAAAAGTAGATCCATACTATGCTCCAGCATATTATAACCTTGGTGTTGTCTACACTGTCCAGAGTAAGATGGACGCCGCGGCAAGTATGATTGAGAAAGCTATCATTACAAATCCGACATATGCAGAGGCCTACAATAACCTAGGAGTTCTTTACAGAGATGCTGGTGATATTGCTCTAGCAAATAATGCTTATGAACAACGTCTCAAGATTGATCCCAACTCTCGAAATGCTGGCCAGAACCGCCTGCTTGCAATGAATTACATAGATGAAGGAAATGATGACAAACTTTTCGAAGCTCATAGGGACTGGGGTAGGCGGTTTATGAGACTATATCAACCATTCACATCATGGAACCACTCAAAAGATCCCGAAGGTTTCAAGAAAAACTATTCCATGGTACAAGTTGAACTAACTGATGAATGTACCCTATAAATGCCATTTTGGATGTTCCATTATAAAAGCAGCTGGCTGCTAGAAGATTGTTTGTAGGACAGAAGCTCAGAAAATGAGAAACAGAAGATTAATTAACATCTCACCAATTTCCTCCTAACAATTTTATAACTCCCTAACTAATTCTATAACTAACTCTAACAGTGATAACAAAAACTGCTAACAAAGGAAAACAGAATTTATAACCGACTCGATCAGGACTTCTTCCTATAACCAATTACAAGGCAGATAACTAATTTTAACCAACTTCTAACCATTCTAGTAATAGGCTACTGTTCTAACAAACTTTCTGGAATCTCTAACAAACTTTTCTCAGCTGACCAACTATATAAACCTTCCTCTTCATCAGTCTCGGGGATCATTTTTTTTCTCTCCATATACTGTTCTGGAGAATCACCGAAACCAGCATCTTCAATTTCCCCTCTCTAAACTCTGTCTTCACCTCCACTCTCCATTGTTCGATCTTCAGTTGGTTCTCAAAGCTTCACTTCTCTCTGATTCATCATACAAAGTTCATTTTTCTCAACTTGCGATAATATTCTTAATTGTCATCATTTCTGCTCTTCTCCTATCGCCAACGCACGCAACCCCCAAACCAAAGAAAAGTGAAGACAGTGATGATGGGATCAAGACGAAGCAGACAAGTTCAAGAAGGGCAATAATTGTATTACTTCACCTCTGGATTTCTGAAGCGCTACCAACGTGTCTTCAATAGGTAATCCTCAATCTTCTTCTTTTTACGACTTTTTTTTGCTTGGTCTGTACCATAACCGCGAAGGGTAAAATGTGGCGAACGATAAATCCACCATGTAATCTTGATCGGAAGAAATGTAGAGCTTAAGTTTCGTTGTTAGATTCGGGATAGAGGAAGAGAAATTGATGAAAGCAAGCGAAGGAGTCGAAATTCAGAGAGAGACTTTAGGTGGTGTGAACAAGAAAGTTGAATCAGAACAGGGGAGAAGGGATGGAGTCATGGCGGCATCGCCATTGTTGTTTTCGAATGTAAAAGAAAGGATTTCTGCGTAAAGGAGCTGGAGGGGGCCGTTTACAGTAAACGCCGTCGTTTTGGATTTTTTTCCTTTTCTCCTTTTGTTATTATTCATTTATTTAATGGTTATTTCAAATGGTTAAATAAAAAAAAAAGAGGAGAACTTATTATTATTTTGCCTTTAAGAATTAATTCCTGATTATTCGATTACTCGAAACTGGTAATTCACTTTGCTCGTCAAGATTCGAGTCTTATGCAGGTTTTTATATGGATACGCTCGAGATGCCGATTGTGATTTATTTTCACACTGAGGATGCTTCAATAATCATTCAGAATATTGGAGTTCTGACTCTTTTCTTTGTTGGTGCTAGCAGCTCGCAAGAACATCGGGTCTCTTTACTTTTTTGCTTTGCTCCACGGGCTAGTACTCGTTTGGTATATTTTCTTTCTACTTTAACCTCGCATTTATCTCTACATAAAGGTCGTATGAAGTATAATAAAATTAGGTTTAGAAATAGACTGGTTTCCCTGTGACTTGTCCTTCCCTTTTTTTGCATATGCATTTAAAACAAAAACTTCTCCTTTTTTACAAACTTCCAAAATACATAAAAATTTACTGACAAGAACCATGTCTTGGCTAAGTTTGAGAGATGATAAGTGGGTTTCTTCTCGACCTTATTATTCTCTTGTTCTAAGCTTTAGTATGATTCAAGTCTCAAAGAATCATTTCATGAATAAGTAGAGACATGGTTAAAATCTCTCTCTTGAGATTAACTAGTTATTCTCTACAAGCGAAAAACACCAACAAACATAAAAATCTTTTTTGCCTTCGGGTCTTTCTTTCAAACCCTTTTCAAAAGAGCGTATTAATTCACTTCTGTGCTGACGCGTAAGTCTCCAAAGGTCGAGTTGCGGCAGAAGGCGAAATTAATATCATTCATTACAAAAACGAACAAGTTCAAACCTTTTTGGGCGTCCAGGCACATTTCTTTCCAAACTTTTCAAAAGAGCGTATTAATTCACTTATGTGCTGACGCGTAAGTCTCCAAAGGTCGAGTCGCGGAAGAAGGCGGGATCAATACTGTTTATTAAAAAAATACAAACAAACAAAAACATATAAGCCGAACTACGGCTGCTCTGATTCCTTAAAAGGGATACGTAGGCATCGGGGTAGGGCCCGAACGAGCACAACTTTTACTTTCCCTACACTCTTTTCCCCTTTCTTTTGCATGCATTCCCTCCAGTAGTATAATAAACCGTAAGCATAGATTAAACACACCCATAAGATAGACAACAAGAGTGGATACCGTAGAGTACTACGGGCGTGTGGGGTGCTAATACCTTCCCCTCGCGTAACAGACTCCCTTACCCTTATCTCTTGGTCGTTCGACCTTGATTTCACCCTTTTCAGGTTTTCTCGATGTTTACCTTTCCCTTCTCGTGGGATAAAATACATTCGATGGCGACTTCATTGTTTTGGTGATTTTCAGCCGGTTGTTTCACATGCCCCGGGCTATCAGAGTGAAAGGCACAGCGGGCATTAGGGTTGTACTTCGGTGATGTTGTATTTGGATTTTTCGGGGCTTCCCTTGGAATCACTAGATTAGTTTTCAATAACTGTGGCAGAATCTGAGATAAAGTAATGTTGAGATGGGTGAATTGCCTTCGAGGTCTCTCGGCCTTTTGTTGGTTGTTGTGCTGAGGAGCACCAACAAGTCTTGAAATAACAATCGCATTAACAGCTTGGCGGCGTTCAGGTTTATTCTAACTTTTTGAACTGTAGACAGCACTGGACTCTTTCTTAAAAGGCTTTTTCTCGGTGCTCGATGAAGCACCCTTTTGTATCTTACCAGACTTAATACCAGCCTCAATCCTTTCACCGGTCATAATTTGCTCTGTAAACCCAGACGAAGAGCTTCCAATCAAATGGTTGAAAAATGGACCAGACAAGGTCCCCAGAAACATATCCACAAGCTCTCAGTTAGGCAAGGGTGGTTGCACTCTTCCGACGAGGTCCCTCCACTTCTGAGCATAATCTTTGAAACCTTCACCCGTTCCTATTGACATACCCTGAAGTTAGGTACGCGTGGGAGCGAGTTCAGAATTATATTGGTACTGCCGGTAGAAAGCAGTAGCCAAATCTTCCCAACTGTGGATACTGGCTCCGTCTAACTGGTAAAACCATTCAACCTGACTCCCTGAGAGACTGTCTTGAAAGAAGTGGATCCATAGTGTGATCGGTGGGAAGAGAACTGACTATTTTTGGAATGCTGGTTTGCGTTTGCGTTTGTTTTTGCAAAATGCCGCGGTAAGCAAGAGTCGCCACCGTCTTTTATTTTATCCAACAAGGAAAGGAAAAAAGCACAGAAAAATTCCTTTTTCGAGATGTTTCTCGGGTTCGGGAGGTAGATTATAGAAAGGGAAGGTGCTAGCACCCTTTCTATCCGTGGTTATCCACGGGCTCTTAGGTACTTGCTCAAAGTGTTTTCAAAATTTCTTTTCTTTGTGTTTATGGGTTTGAAAAGAGTTTTTGTTTGAAAGGAGTGTAAGTGCGAAAAGTTTTGTTTCGTTTTAAAAGGAGCAAGTACTTAAGAACCATCTACCTACTCGAAAATGGAATTAATCTGTACAAATGTCCTTTAGACAACACTATCCCACTATTGATGAGTAGGTAGCATCATCGTTGGAGTTTTAAGGGTCAATTCGATTAAGGGACGTGTGGTCACTAAAGCAATGTTATGACGCCTTAGCGGTAACCCTAATGCCTTAGATCATTTTATCTGAGGCAACCGTTTCGAGGAAACTTATGATCTTTGGACAAGAGGGCGACCTCTAAAACTTCCTGTACTTAATGACCATGTTCGAAGGCAACCAAGTGAGGTGTACCCTAAGAGTGCGCATGTGCGAGTGTGTTATTTCTGTTATATTATCTTTGTACATGTCATGGGTGAGCTATGTTGATTTTATGTTCATACATTGGATCTTGTCATGCATTCCCTATTATCGAACATCTAACAGTTTATAGTTGCGGAAATTAAATTTACGGAAATTAAATCTAAACTATTACAAGGCATCGGGTATTTACATCGCCAAAAACAAATCCTTTAATTTAAATTGCGGAAAGTAAAATAAAGCGATAAAATAAAGTCCTAATTAAAATCTATTACATACCGGAAGAAATTACAATATTGGGATCAAATGTATCGCGTGCGAGAAAATTAAATCGGCGCATTTTTTAGGGTTTTGACCTTTTTTTATTAAAGAAAAGATTTTTGCTTATTTTTGAACTAAAAAAA